CAAGGGTACGTGATCTAAGTTCTCCGTACTGTTTGAGGAGAGCGAGAACGTCGTTTTCGAGGGAATTCCACCGACACAAAATTGGACACGTGAACCGTTTTCACGCCGAGCAGGTATTTTCTGACCTCTCCGTGGTCATAGCCAGGTGCTGCTAGCTTAGCAGCGGGCTCAGCCGAGTTGAGCGTAATGTCGAAAAATTATCCTCCAAACTGGACTACGAGCAGTACCAGAAAAATTGGGCGGGGTTGTGCGGCCCGCTTCCCAAAACCGTTACCCTATTTATGACCAAAATCTGTGATTTTCCCTACACTATTAATGACCTGACCAAAAATTTGATAACCTGATTCTTTATCAATCCCCTGTTTCAGACCTGCCTTATAATTAGTTACCTAGTTCAGACCGATGTTAAGGCATTGACGGAAGGGCTTTTGTTGATGGTCGTATCGATAATTATGAAAAAGTAGCTTCTTCTAAAAACAAACATACCCAATTCAATTCTAGAGTGTAAAAACACCCTATTCGTGACCAAAATGGCTAAAATTGATACGCTATTTGCGACCAAAACGGCTGAAAACCATACCCTTTGGGGCCGCACATACCTATATAGCCCGTATAAGGGAGTACCCCCCCCCCCCGGGTGTAGTTACAATGACTGGAATCATGCTGCAATCGGAAAAAAACTACAGATATTGTTGTCCTGGGGACATAATTAATGACGATTGCAATCTAGGAAGGAAGGGGATACTAAAGTCGACCAATTATTTTACCAACAAGCTTGAGGAGCTTGCAGCACTATCCCGATCTATCGAACTTGCCTGAATCTAACCCATTTTAACTTGTCTGACAATGCACGAACTCTCAGAAGGACCTCTTAACTTGAAAAACTATTAGCCAAACCGTCTATTTTTTTGCTAAAATTCTCAACGGATTTCAGGGTGGCCGGGTAGCCTACGTAGCAAGTGAAGCCGGAAGGCAAAGCGCGAATGGAAGGAGGGGGACTCCTTATCCCTTCCTCGTTTACGCCTGCATCCATGACCAATGCAAGCTAGGTGGCCGGGCGGTAAATGTGGCGCGCAAGGGATGCAGCGGAGGTCGCTAGGGGTTTTCGGTTCGAATCACATTGCTGCAGAGAGGTTATTCTCAAGCTGCTTGGGGGCCGAATAACCTCTCCCCGGGTACTTGGAGATTTGGGTCTACGAACAAGGGATTACTCCCAAACTGGCTTGGAGGCCAAGTAATTCCTCCCCAGGAAATCCACCGAGTCTTTTTGTTTTTAATTTTGCTTGTCTCAGGAATTCCTTAATCGTATTCCTTTTCTCTGTTTTGGGTATTTTTAGAAATTTTTATCTAGCCAAAAAGGAAAAAGAATTTTGAGAAATATGGCTTAAGATTTCATATTTAGCACGGGGTGAAATTTTAAGTTATTTTGTTCTATTTTTGGCTTTAACGTACTTCTATCTACATAGTTAATATATAATTTCAACTAATATCGCTTGATTGTAAAACTGAATTCTTCAATGAT